TACGCGTGATGGAGCCCTGCTTTCCTGGAGATGGCTGAACACCTGCCTGCCCATGGGAAGGAGTGAATGAATTCCTTGTTTTGCTTTGCTTGCGTGCACGGCTTTTGCTTTACCTATTAAACTGCCTTTATTTCAACCCATGAGTTTTCTCACTTTTCCCCTTCCAATTCTCTCCCCCATCCCACTGGGGGGGAGTGAGTGAGTGGCTGTGTGGTGCTTAGTTGCCGGCTGAGGTTAAACCACAACAGAATCTTTCCTATAACATTTCCTGTGTAAAGATATGGGGACACATACAGTGATGGACAACTACATTTGTAACAGTGCAGCATGCAGGCTCTGCAGCATTCAAAATTTTGCAAAAATTACCTTCCTCTACACAAAACATGATCATGTAGTTGCACAATCTAAAATCTCATCTAGAGAAGACTGAAGACCTCAGAACCACGAAAGCTGTGCAGGGGATAACTTTGAGCACCAAACCTATCCTCTTCAAAGTTTAAGGCCTTTCAAAAGCATAACTCAAGGAAGGGAAATAATGCTTTGCTCCCCTTCAGCACATCACATCTGTAGCTCTCGGAAAACTTCGCTGTGGATGCATCACCTACATCTGTTTTAGATGGGGGCACAAAGATTTAAGGTGATTTGCCTGTGGCCCTGCCAGGGGCAGGGCTGTTGTTCCTGACTGCCAGTCTGACACCTTCCAACCTTGGCTGCAAGGGCTTGCCCAACAGCAGCTTCAACTATCACCTCTTTACTGATCTAATCTCCCTGTTCAAAGCCTGGCTTTAACACAGAGATGGCTTTAATTTAACCCTGTTCAGTTCAGGTGTGATGTTTGTATGGCTGAATCATATAGGTCTGAACTGCAAAGAGTACATGGGAGGGCATGGCTGAAGTGCTAATATTCACAGCTGCCTTCTTGCAGCAAGAAAAGGGCGTAAAAAGGAGTGCGCAGCATGGAAGAGCACTTGCACCCATGGTACCTCAGATGTGCCAGTTGTTGGTTAGTGCACACCCCTCGAGACACAGGGCGGTTATGCTACCTCTGCATGGCCTTCTGCAAACAGGTATCAAGTTGCTCTGCCCCATGCTCTGATCTGGCCGGATGAGAACCAGCTCTAATCCAAAAGCTGTGTAACTGTGGTTAGCCTGCTGCGCTGCTCAAGCACCTAAGCCCAGCTCTCAACCTTTGCTTGTGAAAAGCTGTGGAGATACAGATGGTTGCGAGGAAAGCCGTGCATAGGCTCTGTTTGCTCTGTCATCGGAGCAAACCCACCTCATCCCTCTGCCATGCACCAGGCACGCACATGGGACATGAAGATCTCTTCACTCAGCTCAGAATAAAAGAAGTGAAAAAAGAGCCAGCTAGACTCAAAACTCAGCCACAGTCTAGATTTACATCCCCAGTCCAGATCAGGGTCACAGATTAACCCCAAATACCAACAGCTCTAAGTATATAAGCCCTTCTTACTCAGCATCCTCCAGCCTCCATCTCAGTGAGTCATACCAGTTCATGCCAATGACACAAAAAAAGTTTTCATCTCTTAATGCTTGCAGCTGGCATTAATTAATAATTAAAGAGTACTGGAAATATGCAGAGCTCACTGCTGAACTCAGGCATGTTCCTCTTCTTCCTCCCACTCACACTGCAGCAAAAAAGACAAAACCAGGACAAGTCCTGGGGACCAGGGCACCATACCATCACTGTTGTGAGAGGAGAAAAGTTGATTGCGTCTTAGGAAAGAGTACAGAACTGGTGCAGGAGTTGGGAGGAACGTGCACGCTGTCTGCATGGATGTCTCTGAAGCAGTAGGATTCTCAGCAGCTGGCATCTGCAACCTCAGCTGCAAGAAAAATTATGGTCTTTTGTAGTAACCTTAATGCACTGGTTGTAACCCTGCCCTGGCAAGAAATGAATATACATTCCCTACTGTTTAGTTGGGTAGATTTTTTATTAACCTAAAAAACTTACGTATACACATGTTGCTGCCTCACTGCTCAAATCCCCTGCAGATCATTAATCAATAAAGTGGCAACAACACAGCAGAAGAAAAACCCAGAAAAAGCGGGCACAGTGCTGTTTGCTAGGAGAAAGTCTTGCCATTTCATGCCATGCTTTGCTGCTTCTCTTCTCGCCAGCTTTTGATTCATAAAAATACTTTGTCTCTTAGCAGTGATTCCTGATCTTCTTTGATTTCTGTGTGCTGAACTACTAGCATCCAGGCAGCATTCTTGTATGACAAGCGCTGCTTTGGACACTATGATCATTGTAAGAGGCAGAGAGAGGGTCTCTTTTGTGGGCTGCTGCTTTGGTTCAGTATGCAGGAAATTATCCTCTTGCTGATGCAGGCTGGCAGCACTAACAGAAGTGACTTCTGCGATGGGATTTGCAAAACAAGTGCATGAATACTTTGGAGCCACAGCAAAGCAGGAAACAGAGCTGCTTAGTCTGTCCTGTGCCAAATTGAAGACGTGCCTCTACTTCTCTTCTGACTCCATGCATACTGTGCTTGGGTATTACCCCTTCTTCCGTCCCTCAAGAGAGAAAATTCACTTGTGAATCAATTTAGAGGGAGGGCATCATAGTGATAACAGCTGGGATCATAACAGCCCCATACACTTGGATGAACGCACCTTCCCCTGGACCGGCTGGCTCTGTCTCTCCCCACCTTCGCACCTGGCACATTGGGAGCCTGCAGCTGAGCTGAGGAGGATGAAGCAGAAAGGGAATACTGGGCATAAAAGATTGCCCTGGGTTTCCAATCTGGGGAGATACGTTAAGCTTAAGTCAGCACCAAATGTCATATCTTTATTTATCTTACCATAGAAGCAGCCCTGAAATGCTGATACTGAGTGCTTTTAAAGCGCTGAGCCTGTGCTTTTAGGGGGATGGAAAGGGAGAAAGTTACTGCACCCTCCATGTTTTGTGACTTGCTGTCCTTCTGCACAGAGTTGCCAGCACGCCTTAATCCATAGGAGGTACTGAGATTCAGTGAAAACCATAAAGGAAAACGTAATTCTCATGTTCCCTGGTTCCCGTCTCCACCCTCTGATTGTATCAACAGATGTTTGCCACACGCCTCTGTTTTGTCTGCAGAGAAGACACCAGCCAGCAAGTAAATGTGGAGGCAATAGTCACTAAGGCTTGAAAAGCACCCACGGCAGCTGCCTCCCAGTGCCACCTTCCACCTGCCCTTGCTGCTTTTCCAGCCCCAAACCATTGGGCTTTTGGCTGGCTTTGCCCAGTATGCATCCATAGCAGAGCCCCCAGGACAAGACTGCTGGGCAGAAATCCAGCCCCAGTGCTTCTACAAAAGACTTCCTGGGTATCAAAACACTGAAAGCCACTGTTCTCGTCTCAGTGAATATGATTATAGTTCATCAGGGCTGCAGCCAGGTCTATGTTTATTTAAACAAGTAGCTGTTACTCCTCCACCTATGATGCTTCCCGGTGCTCAGTCCCCACATCCAGCCCAGCACTACCTGCACACAGCTCTGCAAGCCCCACAGGAACTGGAGAAGGTGGGGGACACCAAGCCAAGCTCCCCACACCCTCGCGCAGCAATGGAAACGCACTGGGACCACAATGCAGAACTGGCCCCTGGCCCAAGCTATGAGATCCTTGACCAAGGGAGACCACAGCCTCACGGTTCCACTCAGACGTGGACATCCCCCTTCAGGCAGCCTTACCCAACCCTTGCCTTCACACACATTAGCCTTGAGCCTCCCAGTTCTTTCTCTGGTCTGTGGCAACAGCCAGGCTAACCTTCAAGCCAGCTCTGCCGTAAGGGAGCACAAAGAGGAGGGTGCCGAGAAGTGCAGTTGCAGGCTGGGAAAGCTCAGCCTTTGCCCAGCAGAGGCCAGCACAAACGCAGTATTTCGGCAGGCCGTGCTTGCAGGGAAGAGTTGTCTCTCTGCCTGGCCTTCCCCAGCTCGAAAAGAGCCTCTCAGCCTCCTGTGAGCCCTCATCTCTTTACTGCTTTAAGAGAGCTTTTCGGTGAGGGACTATGTAGTGCAACAGAAAGGCACTGACGTCCTACTTGGGTAGGGACAAGCTGCCACAGGCCCAGCCATCACCCAATTTCTCCACTTGCCCAGAAGTATCTGTTACCTTGGAGCAGCAAGTAACAAGGTGCTCCTGAAGGCTGGGCATGGCCAGATAATACTGACACAACACTTTAGAAATGCCAGATGCCCTGGAAATGAAGTTCAAAAGGAATTGCATTGTGGGTAGGAGCAGCTAATCGAAAGCAATCAGGGATGATTGCCCTGGCCACCACCCTGCCCTTTGCTCCTCATTTGAGCTCATTAACAGTTCATTTGCTGACAACAGTGAGGGCCACACCAGAGGACAGGCACTTGGCTACTTAGAAATCAAAACTAGTTGCCTGAGGAGCCTTGAGTAGAGGCCAGGAGCCTGGGAAAGAGAAGCAAGAGACAGCACCGGTATGGAAGTGAAGGAATCTCCTCACATAGCCTGAACAAGCACCTTGTGCAGGTCTGCAAATAGCTTCAGAAAAAGATCTTTTTCTCAGCGACTGGTTAAAAGGGCTGGTGGCCCTGAAAGGATATGTTGTCCCTTGTTGCTCGGGTGCTAAGGATGGTCTCCCAGGGGAACCATTCTTCATAACAAAGAGACCACATCCAAGACACCTAACAATCACCAGAAGCAACCGAGATGTCAAAAACCGCTTGAACCATGCAGATCATCTTCTGCGATCAGGTTTTTGAGGGCAAGACTAGGGCAAAGACAAGTCAGATTGGAAGATGCGTCCCTTAGCACCAACATACACCTGGTGTTTGGCCAAAACGGCTGAGCACAACACTGCTTGGAGGCCTTCCAGCTCACAGCCAGCCATGCAGAGGAAGGGCACCTTAACTGATGATGCCAAGACTATTGTTTAGGTTCTGGAGAGGATGTTGTTGCGAACCCGTCTCCCAGTCTCACCACTTACCACTTATTTTCGTTCTGAGTCGCAGTAATAAGTCTGAGACATTACCAGCGAGTAGTCTAGCAATTCTGCGGGCATTACGCGGAACCCCACCCAGCCTGCAGTATCTCAGACTTTGACAGCTCTGCAACAAAAATATTGGCTTCATGTCTGTGTGGGCATAGGTGATACATGTACATCAGGGCAGGACCTTCTCCATCTGCAGCTAAAACCAAACTTAACATTTTATAGCCATGAGAAAACACAAAGGCTTGCAGCAAGGATGGAGATTTCTCATTATTGTGGGCAATACTGTGTTTTAAGTCAGTGCAAACTTTGCTGGGGCTCTGTTGCATCCTTCAGTGAGGAGCATGAGCCTGCAGTGCCCTGCACAGCAAACCCCAAGCAAGGTAGCAGTAGCTTTTTTCTCTAATTCTGTGTAACCCAGGAAGCATTGGAGCATCAGAGCCCTAAGGAACAGCGAGTGAAAAATCCGGGAGCAAACCCACCAGAAGCTGAAGGAGCAGAAGTGGAGCCTGTAAAACCAAGATCCTCTAGAGCTGCAGCCAGTTGTCTCTCCAAGGCTTAAAGAGCCAAATGCCAAAGAAATGCAGTTTGGGAAGGGCCTTTGTAGCCTGGGTGGCTCAAAGCATGGCCTTTGCGGGGGATCAGCAGCTCTGGTTGGTGTATCAATGGATGGAGTGAAGCCTACTCGAAAATCCTCAGGTGGAGGGGGGTGGTATAAGACACACTGAAATTGCTCCTGCTGCTTTTTTGTGAACATGGTTAGAATCTTTTTGCTGCCTGTAGATGTATTCTGCATGTCCTGTATGCAGAAACCCAGCTGGAATAACCACCATCCTCCCCTATGTGTGAGCATTTCCCTTCGGGGCGGTGGGCAGAGCTGCACGGACAAGGGCCAGTGCAATCACCCATTGCCTCAGCACTATGCTGGCACAGAAGGTGGAGGCAGGAGGTTCACAACCCTCCTAACAGGCCATGGCAGGAGAAAACACGGAGCTACCTGAACCTTTCCTGAGGACAGCTCGCTGAGGCATGGCAGTGTTTGGTTATCATCCTGCTAGTGTGAACCAGAGAGAGAAAATGGGCTCAGCACAGCTCATTACCGACTTTTCCCAATCGCTCTTGAGGGCTGTGATGATGAGCCAAAACCCATCTGGAAATATGCCACTTCTCTGTGTCTGAAAGAAGGGTATCTACAAATTGGGTCCCTTTACCTTAGTTAAAAGCCTAGGTCAGCAGCACTGCTTGTGGTACCCTATGCTGAAAAAAGTGCAGCTGATGCTCCTTTGAGATGGCAGCAGTCCTGAGCCACCATTAGCAACAGGACCTGGACTGGCAGGTGGACTTCAGCCTTGTGTATAGAGTGGGGGTGATAGGCAGACTGCTGGCTGGTGGGGTGTTAGGTGCAGAGGCCATCTGTATGGACCAGCTTGTGTTTCCACTAGATCAGACCCAGCAGAACTAATCTACTCTTCACTGACCTTTCAGGTTTCATCTGTTTCAGTGCATGAGGTAATGCAGCAGCCTTTTGTGGACTTGTGACTGGTGGGCAAGGGGAAACCGCGTAGGCTGCAGCTACGTGCCTTATAGTAGGGGGCCTTGGAGCAAGGGTCCTGCTAGGTCCTGCTTCTCCTGTGCACTCCAGCACAGAATCACCACCTCCCTGCACGCTGTGATGCTCCTTCCCAGCTGCGCTGCTGGTCAAGCTGAAGGCTCCACCAGCCCATCAAGACCTGCACGTGAGGTGACACGATACAGCACTGCACCTCCACACATGCAAGGGGAGCACGTGGAGGTCTAGCCATCGGCAGCAGGGAGCTAAGGGTGTCAGCAGGCTGTGATGCCATGTGGCACATCAGACTCAGGTCCAGCCCTGAAGCAAGGAGGGACCCATCTCTCCCAGGGACCCCATCACCCCACAAACCATTGCTCCCCAGCCTGCCCAACCCACGCACATGGGCCCCCCTTCTAAATGTGGGGCTCCGGCTGCTGGCCCTGGATTAGACACCAGCACACGCGGGGCTGTTCCCTGAACTCCAAGCTTTTCCCTGCTGCCTGCATCCTCACTGTGTCATGCCAGGCCTTAGGAGTGGCTCAGGTCCTATTTTGGAAACAAAGAGTTAAGCATTTTCAATCTTTATTTTACAAAAATAAACCAGTTTTGCCCTGGTACTCTGTGGCCTCCGGTACTCTGACCCTGCTCCCGTTCCTCTCCCTGGAGCTCCAGCTGTTGCACACCGCAGCCAGCTGCTCACATGGAGGCTGCCAGTGCCACATGCTCCAGCGAGTGTCCCCAAGCAAGCACCAGGGAAGGGGGTTGGTGCCCTTTTGCAAATGCCTCCTCTTCTCAGGATCCAAGCTGGAAACTGCCCCAAGATGCCTCCTGGTGGCTCTGCCATTTCTGCACAGGGAGCAAGTCTTAGGCAAGTCACTCAGAGTACACACTTTGAGAAGGGGTGTCCGCCCGTCCCTCTCCCTTGGATGGAAAAGCGAGCCCCACGGAGTTGCTTCTTGCCTGTTGGTGGAGCCGGCAGGCTGCCATTCTGCTGGCTGGCTCAGTGTTGGAAGCGTGGGGAGCTGATGTGGGGCTGGTGGAAGGAGTGTGTGGCATAAAGCACTTCTGGAGGTGGCGGAGGGGACGTCAGGATGGAGCATAGCGGTTCGTGGGAGCTCAGCATCGAGGCGAAGTGCTTCATCTCCTCCGTCAGCTGCTTGATCTCCCGGCGCAGAGCAGCGTTCTGCCTCTCCAAGTCTTCGCTCTCCTGAGGAGACAAAACCATAGGGCCTTCCTCAGCGCGGGGGCCACAGGGATAAACTGGGGACACGGGGGTCGTGGTCCCGTGCTTCTCTGCCCCGCAGACTTTCCAGAATGACACGTTTCTGGTAAATTTGGCACAGAGCCGCGCCTGGGCAAACCCCCCTCCCCCAGCCGGCCAGGCCGGGTGCGGGTGCGGCCG